GAGCTGTAAGAGCTCCCAATAAAATGATTTTTTTTAATGTACATTTCTAAAATGCTCACTAATCTAGTGTAACATGCACATCGAAATTTCCTAAAAACATAGTATGTTGTAGGAAAAGTAAGAGCAGCTCAGAGCTTTGGAAATCCCCCCAAACTTCAGCTTCCACTGTAAGCCCTCAGCTCTGTGAGCACGGACGGTGTGGGCCCTGCTGAGGCTGGCGCACGCTCCGGCTTGGTTTGGAGGAAGGCACAGGTCCACTGACAAAAGGAAAGAGGCCTGTGATTGAAAAACAATTGCTTAGACTGGCAAAGAAAATGTCCAGGAAAACCCCCCACAGAAATGTAAAAGGGTGAAATGTGATGATAGGGGGATTTGCTTGAAAACCAGCTAGGGAAAGATCGATGGCACGAGGTTGGCCATGGTGGGAAAGGCCCCTGGAAATCCTTCCAACTATCCCTTCTGCTTCTACATCTGCTTGGAATTGTCCATACGAAGCAATCTGCCATTATAATCTCAGAGAAGACATTAAAATCACCAAATAAACCCAGTAGTGTAAGAAACAGACAATGAGAGAAGGTCCCTGGAAATAGAAAAACCATAGCAGAAATAAAACATACAATGAAGGGCTGGGGGCTGGGGTGGGGGCAGGGACGGAAGACCCATCGGACAGCACAGCCACCAGTTGCCCTTGTTGTTGCCAGTGCCATCCAGTCCGGTTCAACCCACAGCGGCCCAAGCACCACAGCACGAAACAGCCTCCCACTATCCTCACAATTGCTGCTGGTGAAAAGTTACAGAAGTGGAAACAAAGAGAAGATTTAAAGATTAGAGGACAAGCTCAGAAGGCCCGAAACCCAGGTAACAGTTCTAGAAAGAGAGTAAGGAGAAACAGAAGGAAGGAATTCACCCACGCGTCCAGGTAAGAACTTTTCCTAGAAACTGAAGGCTATACATTTGTGAAAGAAAGCATTCACCAAATGTTTCATACAATGGATAAAAACACACCCACATTAAGGCAAATTTCTCTTCTTGAGAAATTTCGAAACACTGGAGACGAAGAGATTTATTAAGCTTCCAGAAAAGAAACAAAGAAAAGATGGGGAGTCTATGGGATTACACAGCAGAAACACGAAGCTAGAAGGCAATGGAGCAGGACCTTCAAGAGTCTGAAGGAACGGAATTCCCCAATCGCCCACTAAGCGTGAAGAGGGAATGAAAACATTTTCTCAGACATGTACGATCTCAAAAACTTTCCTTTCACCCTTTCTGAGCCACAAAAGCAAGGACGAAAACTGAAAGGAAAAACAAAACAAAACAAGGAAGAAAGACAAGGAATACAGGAAACAAGAAATCTCGCATTTAAAGACAAAAAGGAAGAGAATGTCCAGGATGATGAGCAAGGCAATTCCCATCCTCAAATAAATGTCCACTCTTTGGGCGCCAGGTCCCCTCTCTCTGTGAAACAGCGAAATCACTACAGTGCTTCGCTGGCAGAATCCTAAGGAGGAAGCATTTCTCTGCTACCCTACAGCGTCGATCGGCCTCGGGATGGACTCAAGAGAAGAGTTTGGGTTTTGTTTGGGCACGAAGTACGAGCTACAAACGTTGTTACTGTCACCGTCAGAGAGTTGAACTCTTTATAATGACATGTAATTTGATACAGTACAATAACCGGAAATCGCTGTGAGTACACATGCCTGAACTGAAACTAGTTTCAGCCTTCAGGTGGCCAGAAGAGTTCGGAGCGTTTTCTGGTGCGATTTGGTTTTTAAAATGAAGAAACTGAAGCTCAGGGTGGCTAAGACACTTCTCCATTTAGAAAGGAAACGGAGATCATCCCTCAGACGATGCACTCAACGCACCGAATGCCAGAAATTGGCTTCCCAAGCTACCTGGGGGGTATCGTCTGACCCCCAACACATCACCGCCAAGACAGGCTGTCCAACTCTGTCTGTGTCCATCCTAGAACTTGACACTTGGCTGAAGATTTACTCTTCTATAAACATAAGGGCCACATAGAAAGATCCTCCCAGAGCGAACCACCCCACCCCACCCGCATCGCCCCCAAAGCAAGCCCACTGCCACTGAGCTGATTCTGACTCCTATACCCAACATAGGGTTTCCATCGCTATGGGAACAGAGCCCTATCTGTCCACGGTTGGCAGCCCCACTCATAACCCACCACAGCACCAGAGCTCCTGATCCGTCCCTGCTGCTGTGGTCAATGGGGAGCAGCACAGCTGAGCCACAGATGGGCATTTCTGACTCTAAAGAAGGGACTTGGCAGTACACTTCCAACACAGCCTCCTATGTCTCCCTCAAGCACAGACACAATCCGTGGGGGTTGAAGCCACTCCAGCCGCTGCGTCCATCAAAGCTGCATGACAGGAGCTGCCAAGCAAGCTCCGTCAGGAACATGAGTATGGTGATGGGGAGCCAAGGTGTGGATCCCACAGTGAGAATCCATGCTCTCGCAGCCACAGCAAGCGATTCAAATTCATGCAGAGGTGTGCCCACAGAAAGAAGCACTGACATCGTGTCCCTGTTCTGAACTCTCCTATCAGCTTCACACATGCTGACACTCCATGAAAATCACAAGGGCGCTTCCCTGGCTTTCACTGATGGGAACCGGCCTACAAAGTCGCTTTCTCCCTTCAGTTTCTTCTCTTTGTACATCGCCTGTCTTGACCCCTGGAGGCTCTCAAATGCAAAAGCATTAGTTTTAACTGGCTGAATGACCCCTCACAGTGGTAGTTAATAAGATGGGGTTCTGTGGTGCTCCCCCTTCAAGTGGCGCCCAGAGTTGTGCCACACCTTAGATCCTTAACGACACATTAAAGTTCCCCACTCTGCTGGGTTTAGAGAGGGGAATCAGCTTTGGTGAGAATGTCCCTGGTATGAAACACCCATGAGCTTTCTCATCCTGGTTCCAACTGAAAATGACCCTTCTGTACTTTTGAAAAAAGTCCCATTCAACAGTTTTGCTCGTTTCCCTTTTCATTGAATCTCAAGGGAGGATACATGCCAATTCCTCACTTTTTAACAGAGAAAATTACTTCTTGACTATTTATTCTTTTTTGGAATATTTATTCTAAACACATTTATAAACTACCCTTTATAAATTAAACACATCATAATTAAACACAGTACATGCCCCACAGTAATCCAGAGACCAAGGTGGTGGCGGGCCAAGGTTCCAAGATTTCAATCTGTTGAGCATTTAGCAGGAATATAAGGTGATAAACAGGTAAAGAGCCTCAATACTGCCATACCACCCTCTGCAAAAATTGCAAAATTTTAAATGTTTTCATTCTTTTTATTATTATTATTAATCCTTTTATAGGGAGCTCTTACCGATATTATAACAATCCATAATTCAATTAGATCAAGCATAATTTTACAATTGCTACCACCAGTTTCAAAACAATTTCTCTAGAACTCTTTGATATCAGCTGCCCTTGATCCCCTCCCTTCCCCACTCTACACACCAGGAACCCTGATTATTATATCATATATTATTTATTTATTTATTTATTTATTTACGTTTTGCCATATCTTAAGCTATCCACCTACATTTCTGTTATTTGTTCTGTTCCCTTTGAGTGGGGTTATACAGTCATCATTGCTGTCAGCTCCTCTCCCCACCTCCCCTTCCTGTACCCTCAGGGAATCATTACTCCTGTTACTGAAGGCTTTCTGAAGGGTTATCGATCTTGGGTTTCATGCATCGAATGATCTTAATTATACAAATGAACATATACAGGTCTAACAAGATTAATGAGGTAAAACAAAAACCATAATAGTAAGGGGAGGAAATATTAACAAACTAGAAGAGAATTATGTGTTTCATTCGTGCTATACCATACTCTGAATATATCATCCTCTCCATGTGACCCTTCTCTGAGGGACTGTCCAATTCTCTTTCAGGTGGGTTTTGGGTCTCCACTTTGTCTACACTCCTTCATGCCAATTTGACTGCTTGTTTTTGAATTCTGATAATTATACCCATTGACACCTCATGAACCCAGAGGCTGGTGTGCTTCTTTCATGTGGACTTTGTTGCTTTCTTGCTAGATGGTTGCTTGTTTAACTTGAAGCATTTAAGACCCCAGACACTGTATCTTTTAATAGCCGGGCATTGTCAGCTTTCTTCACCACATTTGCCAATGCACCTATTTTGTACCAGCGATCATGTAGGGAAGGTGAGTATCATACAGCGCCACATTATTAGAACAAACCATTCTTGTACTGAGGTTAAGATTTAAGTAGAGGCCCAAAGTCCATCTGCTTCCTTGTTGTATTTACACATATATATACACATACATATATAGACAAATATACTTCTCTTTATATATATACATATAATCACATCTATATTTGTAAATATATAATTTTTACTTTTTTCTTCTTCCCTCTTGCCCCACTATCATGTTTACTCACCTCTCAGTAATTCCTCTCAGATACATTTCAATTGGTCAAACACGACCACGAACACTACACCCTCCTCACAATCAACTTTAGGTCCCTTGCTATTCCCATCCCTGTTGTTATTGGCTCACCGCTCCCCTCCTCCTGCCGTATCCCCTCCCATGTGCTTTCATTCTTTTCACAAATATTCACGACAGTATTTTTGAAGAATAAAATTATGTTCTCCTTCCTTTTTCTCATAAACACTAGGTGCATTCTCAAAAAAGAATCATCAAAATTCAATATAAAAGTATGTCCTAGTAACTTAACCAACTTAGTGAAAGCATATGAAAATAAATAAAAATGACCAACACATATTTCCAAGTTCATATTAGAAATGTACAGAAAACACGGTATTAAAAATTGAGACTAATTCAAGGTCAATGCTCACAGAAAAAGGAGGATTCCTGTGTTTGCCAAGGCAAAGGCGAGTCCCAAGATCCCACTGCCCATAATGGCATTGCTTAGGTTAAAAACAGACATGCCTAAGGAGGTTGTTCCTGGAATCTGAACAGAGAAACAAACAGTCACACTCAGAAAAATACTCAAGACCCCAAAACATTAAGGCAAAGCACTAGTCAAGATCAAATTCAGGAAATCCTTCTCTAGTGGCCTACTTGTTTACAAATGATGTTGCAGGAGAAAATATAGGTAGTTTGAAGAATATCCTAATGCATTTACGTAGCTATGCTTGGGTCTTATGCTAAATGAATTAAAAAGATCTATCCCAATTGATGTGATTAAAAGAATTAAGTATATTTTATTATAGCGACACTTACATATTCATCACATTTCTTTTTTTCCATATGGCTGTTTGTGAGACTTCTTCTACTTTCACGATCAGAAATAAACTTGCTGCAAAGACATGTATAATACATTTAACCTCGTGACAATGATTTGAAGCTTAACATCATGACTACGATTTATGACTTACCAAAACACATCACGCTGACAAGGTTAACAATTGGTTCCCTAACGGCTCCCAGCCTTATTCAAACCCCTCACACATTTTTTGCCAGTAGTAATTAGTGGTTGCAAGTGCCCCAAGGGCAGGTACTTGGTCTCATTCATTTTTACATACTCACTGTTACGTAGCATAAAGCAAATCAAGTTGTATGTTTTCAGTTTGAGATGAAAAGAAAGACAACTATAAGCTCAAACACGTTATACCTTTTCCTCATCATTGTCATGGTAAATCAGAACGCTGCATCCAGTGTAAGGTAACGTTAAGAGCTTTTTACTATATGTGGGAATGTCAAGTACTAAACAAACTGGCATTTAAAAGAATATAGTAGGCAGGATTTCTTCTGGGTTCATACTCTGGGAGCACAACAAATTTAAGTAAATATTTCCTCCCTCTTCTGAAAAGGACGCACTGTCCCACCATCAATCACTCACCAGCAACTGTGTAAGCCAGCCGCTGCTCTGCTGTTTGGGGAGTGTGTGGACGTAGGATAGGTGATGCAGCCACTAGGCTCCGGGAGTTCAGACTAGGAAGGTATAGGTGGGGCCAGGGCATGTGGGTTACTGGTAGGTTCAGAACCGGGGCATTTAAGAAAGTATAAACTTGAGTTCAAATCCTCACTAGCTCTGAAGGCCTGTGCGCGCTACCTCAGTTTCCTTACCTGTGAAATGGAAGGGACACTATTACACTCTGGTCCATGACCGGGACAATTAAATCAGGAAGCGAACTTACAGCATCACTGAAGCACCCAGCACAGAATGATGGCAACAGATGCCCGTTAGTCCTTCCTACCAGTGCGGGGATTGGACTGGTGTCAGCGGCGGGAAGGATTCAGGCAGGTGGAATGTGGTAACTCAAACCTAACCAAACTCGCGGCCCCCAATTCCGACTCATAGCAACCCTATACGACAGGGGTAAACTACCCTGGTGATTTTCCGAGACTGTAAGTCTTTATGGGAGTAGAAAGCCTCATCTTTCCTCCTGAGCAGTGGCTGGTGGTTTCAAACTGCTGATCTTTCGATTTGCAGCCCAGCTCATAACCCACTGCGCCACGAGGGGGTGAGGTAAACGACGTGCAAACATCTAGAAGCAGGAATTCAAAGTCATCTGTTGTTGCTGTTGTCAGGTGCCAATCCGTCGATTCCAACTCAGGGACCCTACAGGACAGAGGCGGACTGCCCCTGGAGATGGCCACGTCACTTCTCCCGGGGTGCAGCTGGTGGATTCCACCTGCTGGCTTTTCAGTTAACCGCCGAGTGCTTTCATCTCTGTGCCACCAGGGAGGCTTCAAAATGCTCTGAGGACCATCGACTTTATTCAGTGCTAATAGCAGTTAGTATTTATAGCATACATATCTAGTTTTTTAATTTTCCCATTAAAAAACATAAGCAGTACTCTCGGACAAAATCCACTCACAGACAACCTGCTGCCTAGAATAAGATGACATCTTAGACTAGGTGCGACTTTGAACACTTCGAGGTCTGGACATTCCGTTATACAGACATGGTTAAAACCAACCCCAGTGGTTTGTTTTATTTCTCATGAATAAATGTACAATCATTTGAACAGAACTATTGTAAAGAAGCATGTATCTGAAGCCTGACCATTACGTTTTCAAACACCTTTTCAAATGGTAGAAAACTTGGCAGCGATATGGGCTGTGCAACACGATGGGGATGGCTGTCACCGATGTCTCTGACTTGTACGTGTGGAAGATGGTGAGCTGGACAATGTATCGTACACACTCGTGCACAAGCTGAGCTTTTCAGCACATTTTTTAATGATAAAATTAGGTGCCTCCGCTGATATTCGGGTCGCCTTATACTCGGCGTATATACGGTAATCTTATTTTCAGGACAATAAATTTTTTTTTTTAATTAAAGAAACCCCGATCGTTGAGGTTGGTTCCATTTATGTACTTCTCTTTGGTGTAAAGATGGTCTGGCGCTTCTCAGGGTTTTCGTCACTCGCCCAGGATAAGCCAGACAGGCAATATACCCTCAGCAAGCCTTGAGATCGACGCCCGCAAACAATCTGCGGTCCCTGAAGTTCAGCGCCTGCACATGGCTGGCACCTGACTAGCTCTCAGGGATGGAAGAAAATTCTGGTCTCCTGACATGCAGGAGCTGACACTCCAGCTGAGAAGAGATCATGCCAACCAAGGCTAGTTTATGAATGCCACACTGTGCAAAACAAAGATGAGATGAGGCATCTGGAGGAGGGCTCGGGGGAGAACAACAGTCGGGGACGCAGGTGCAGGGGCCACTCATCAGAGTTAACTTAAAGGCAGAGGCCCAAGAAACAGGCCATTTGGAATCATTATTGCTAGAAACTGATTCAACCCTTCTTTTGTCTGTTTTTATATTTTATTATATTTTCCGCAAAGGTTTACCCAGCAGTTTAAGTTACCATTCAACCATTTCCACACATGGTTCGGGGACATTAGTTACATTCTTCACCATGTGTGAACATGCTCATTCCTGTCTGGTTGTTCCATTTCCATTCGTCTAGTTTCCTTGCCCCTTTATGGTGTCAGCATTATTTTAAATAGTGAAGAACTGTGTGGGCTCCTGTAGGTGTCTTTTAAAAGAGTACTTACAGGTGATAGTATTTCTTGAGCCAGCTTGTCAGGTAGCCACAAGGTGACTTTAGGGGTTGTCTTTCCCATTTCCATCTGTCCACAGTATGGAGGTTCACAGAACTGGCAGGGGATGCAGCTGTCTACCACACTCTCAGCTGAGGAGCAGTGAGTGGGTGCTGGACTTCCCACAGTGAGACTGACTCATCATTAAATGTTGCTTCATTAAAGAAGGAGCCCCGTGGGGCTAGGGTCAGCACTGGGCTGCTAACTGGCCATTCAAACCCGCCAAGCCCAACTCAGGAGACAGATGAGGCTGTCTCCCAGCCGATAGACTCTCACAGGCTCAGAAACCCTATAAAAGGTCACTACGAACCAGAATTGACTCCATGACGTGGGATTTCATTTCTTCCATAAAAGACGATCTGTCCTCAGACTAACTTGATTATTCCTAGACTGAGGCCCAGGGGTTCTGCTGTCATAATGGCCACACGCTGGACTGCTGACACACAGCAGGGTCAGCAGTTTGAAAGACAGGGCTTCCTACCGTGGTAAAGAGTTCCAGTCTTGGAAACTCACAGGGGCAGTTCTACCCTGTCCTATAATGGTCACTATGAGCCAGCAGCGACTCGATGGCAGTGTTTTTTGAGCTGAGACTAAGATATACTAGAAAGAAAGGCTGGGGGATCTCTTTCTGAAAATATAGCCAATCAAAGCCCCATAGATCACAACAGTTGGATCCCATTGTGCAAGGGGTTGCCATGCGTTAAGGTAAGGCATGCTTGTCTGCAGCTAACAACAATATATTTCAATAACCAACTTGAGTCCACCACCTCTTTATCGTGTGGAGAGACAGACTGGTTTTCTGGAAGAAATTTCCATTATTCTTTAAATTAAGGGAGAACTGTGAGCATTTTTTAAGAAGCCAAGCAAAGCATCAACACACTGCCCAGGACTGGCATATCGAATTCTAGGCTAGAGCAGAATGAGAAGCAGCAGACTGGTGAGCACATAGGTTAGGAATATGGGCACCCTGACATGGAAGGGAGAGACTCAGCAGGACCAAGCATGGTGACACGGAAGAATACTGTCCCTGTGTCATCCCCAGCTACTTCCTGTGGGACTTCTGTGGAAGAAGAACAATACATGACAGTGATTTTCAGAGCTGTGTTAATGGGTAACCATTCAAAGATACATTAACTCTCTCATGACCTGTGGGACATATAGCGCCCACCAACATTCTTAGCCTCTTAGGTTTCTTGGGACATGCTCCTGCCAGCCAGCAGGGACCTGTGGAATGGTGACTGTGAAGAAGCAGTCCTCATCCCACCAATTCTACCACGAGAGTCTGCTTGGGACACGTGTGTAATATAGGGTACCACAATGCATACCTCAAAAAAAAAAAAAAAAAAAAGCTTTCCTTTTGAGTTCAGTATGCTTTCCGTTAATGAAAATATACGGCATCAACAACAACAACAAAGAGAGTTCTTTTGTCACCTGCTACCTTTTCCATATTCCACGCTATGCCACCAAATGTACCTTGCATCCCAAATGCTTGTATCATGCGGTCTTCTAAACAAATCTGCAGCTACCTCGGACAGCCGCCGGCAGTGACCTGAAGGAATGTGCCTCTCCTGCTCCGGAATCAGGAGCCCTGGAGGGGCCAAGGTTCTGCACTCCCAGACGAACTAAAAAGTGGATGGCGCTACACCCCCCACCCCACTCCCAGCGGCCCTGCAGCAGAAACGACTGGCAGTCTGCTCCTGTCAAAAAGACGGTAGAAATCCCGATGGGGCAGCTCTAGTCTGCCACCATGGGGCCTGATTAGCTAAGGATTCGGCTACTAACTGAAAGGTTGGCAGTTCAAATCCAGGTTCCTTGCATGTGAGTGCTAGGGATCTACTATCGATAAGTCACAGCCATTGAAAGTCCTTGGAAGTACAGTTCTCTCCTGCATCAGTGGGCTCCAGGGCCACGGGTCTGGTTAGGGTTGACTTAGGGCTTGCGGGGCCAGTCAGCACAAGAGCTGGCTCGGCAAGAATGAGGGTTTAAAAGGCTCTGTCATGGGACCTCCGGCCTTTCTTCTTTCAGGTCTTGAAGACTGAACATTGTATTTCTATATGCTTTTCTTGCTGCTTCATTTTTAGTTTCCTGGACGTATCATTCACATCTCACGCAGTTCAATCATCTGACGTGTCAAGACTTATGCCACCTACACCTTTCTCCTTAAGGGAACCAATCTTTTTGGAATGAGAGAGTCCGCTTCCGATGACCAAGGTCACACCGTTCATCTCAAATGGAGTGGCCGCACCGTTTCCTAAGACATGACTCCTTATTCAGTAAGGACTGACTTCTGACCAAGAGATTGACGTAAAATTTCCCCTCACGGACTCGAAGACGAGCTAAGGGAAGCATGAGGTCTCTGGGTATGAAGAAACAGTAAGTTTTAACTGGGTTGATCTGACTGTATACAACACCAGCTGATCAGCCCAACTGCTTTGCGACTAAAATAAAAGATCAATGGTAGCTGACTTGGGGACCCTGAATAGACGAAGACTTGAAAAGGGTGTGGACAGAAGGATCGACCTTGTACGGTCCCTAGTTTAGAATAGATCTACAATAGTGTCTAGTGAAAAAAGTTTATTGGCAGTGATAGGGTGGGAAGAGGGGGGCGGAATCACAGTTTAGGAAGCACTAAGTATCTGTTGATGATGATGGAAGAACTTGGCAGCAGACACTGGCATGGCTGGCTGCAGAGCATGGCTAAGGTCCCAAGTGTCGCTGAATTGTATTTATAAAAATGTTGACAGATACACACTGCAACAGCCACGCGTGTAGGCAGTATTGCTGAGGTGCGGGGCGGAGGGGTCATAGCGACAGAGCTGTGGCGCTCAGCCCAATACAAGTCAACACCACCAACGGTGCGATGAGGTCGGGGCTGGACCTTGGAGATGACCCTCCGGAGAAGGAGGAGGCTCTCGACTTCCATAAAGAGTTACAGTCTTGGAAACCCCCCGGGGTTCTACCCTTGTCTTTTAGGGTCTCTAGGAGTCGGAACTTACTTGTTGGCAGTGAGCTTGGTTTGACTCAAGTAAACAGTTAATTTCGCTACAGAAACATATAAAACTGTTCACGTCAGATTAGTAAGTAAACACAAGTAAGGTTGTGCTTATCTAGTAATCCATTTCTGATCATGAACTACTAAAATACATTAAGCTGGGTCAAACTATAAAAAAACACCTTATAAAACATATCACTCCAACTGGCTGCCGTCTAGTCGATCCCGACTCCATGTAGTTGACCCTGTAAGGCAGAGGAAAATGGACCGGAGGGAAATGGAGGGTTGTCAAGGCCGGAATGTTTATAGCAGCAGACGGTCAACTTCCTGTTCCTGTGGTGCAGCTGATGTGTTCAAACTACACTCTGTGGGCTAGAGCACTTTATCCATTGTGTCACCGGGCCATATCCCAAAGCTAACTTTTTACCCAAACAAACCAACAAACCCCACTGGCATTGGGTCAGCCTACAGGGAGGAACCATAAATAAAACATGGCAGGGGTCTTTGGGACTTTTATTTACCTTTGTTGATGTTTTGTTTTTAATTTTAGATTTTCATTCCAGAGCCAGAAATGAAATAAGATGTATGTCCCCTGTCAGCGAAGGAGGGCAAATAAAATAAAGGGAAAAATAGACACACCACCCTGCGTTTGCAGTAGGGGGACCGGAGTCTGCAAAAGCAAGCGGTCAACACCCACCGCCTCCCCGTCTGTTCCACCCTGGCCTTAGTCACAGTCTGCGGGCCAGTGAGCTCATCAGGCTGGTGCCCAAGTCGGGCACCAGCCTGGGCGTTCCTTCCACTGACTGCTACAACGGAGTCATCGTGTATTTAAATGATTCAATCATTTAATATTTTTAATAAGCAAAACATTTGACGTCTAGTTCAGATGCTAGACTGGGTCTTGGAACTGGTGTTCAAGTTGAGGCCTCTGAGTTGCCTTTGCCTTGAGAATGAAGCTTTGTGCTAACGCCGAAACATGCTCCTTGAGAAAGGGTTAAAAATGCTTCCCACCCTGTCCATGTGGGGTCAGCAGGGCTGAGACAGAACTCTCCAGGAGCCCTCGGCAATCAGTATCTGTGTATCAGAACCTTTAAAGACCAAGCTTTCCCCAAACCCCGAGGGTTATAGTCAGAGGCTTCAGGGGAGGACAGAATTTCTGGGTGTAAGTTTGAGCCAGAATCGACTAGACAGCAGCGGGGTTGATTTTGTTCTTTTGTGACTTTTTCATTTGTTTCTTTGTGGGGAGTTCCACTTTTCTCGCCCGCAAAAGGAATTGTGAGATTGTCCTTACATGCAAAAGAATACTTGCTTTGCGGGATGACTACAAGGCTCTCACCGGCAGAGTCCCTGGGGACTCACAGGGACCCTGTGGGACAGGCTAGAACTGCCCTCGTGGGTTCCTAAGACTGTTAATCTTTATGACATCAGAAAGCCTTTCTCCCAGGAAGCGTCTGGTAGTTTTGAACTGCTGTCGTTGAGATTAGCAGGCCAACGCATAACCACTAGGCCATCAGGACTCCTTGGATTATAAAGGGAAAATAAATGTCAGATGCTCGGCGCTTAAGAAATGGTAGCTGTTATTAATCATTACCCAGAAGAGGAAAGAAGGAAACTTAAGTCCAATAATAAGAAGCATCACCTCACACAAAGAAACAGTCCTTGGGTGATGATAGTGAGGAAATGGGTCTGAGTTGGGAGCCTTGGCCTCTAAAAACACTCAAGGGACTGAAGAAGGAGAGGCAGGCGCCTCATATTCAAGGGCGTATGTGATTGATGGCAGCCAAGTGGTGGGCTGGGCTTTCAATTACACACTGTACCAGAATGCACAGAGATCATCACAGAGGGTTTCCAGGAACATGCTTGGCTAGTAGACTTAGTGTTCTTATCTTCCCCACCCGGATGTTCTTTTTTAATATATATATACTGTGAATTAGGGGGTGATTTCCAATGTTCAGGAGCCCGGGTGGCTCAGTGGTTATCCCTTGCTCACTGCAAGGTCAGCAGTTTGAAACCGGCGGCTGCTCCACGGGAGACAGGTGGGGTTTTCTACTCCCGTCTCGGAAACCCACAGGAGCAGTGCTGCCCCGTCTTACAGGCTCACGATGAGTCAGCATCGACTTGAGTGAGTTTGCTTTCTCGGTCACCGTTTCTCATTTCCTGTTGATGCCCCCCAGGTAGTGTAGTAGCATCACGGCTGTCCCAGGAAGTATCCTGGAAAGACCACTCTCTCCCCGCTGCCCTTCCGGAGGCCTCAGGCTTCCCAAACTGCAGTACTCACGCCAAAGGAGGTTCCCCTGCTGTTGATAGTGGCTCTCTAGTGGGCTCCAAAGGAGACGCCCAGGTAGCGTAGTGGTTCTGCGTTGGGTTGCTAACACTGAGGTCACTAATTTGGAACCATGGGAGAAAGACGAGGTTTTCTACTCCTGTAAAGAGTTAGTCTGGGGAACTCACAAAGGCAGTTCTACCCTGCCGTATAGGGTCGCTATGAGTCAGAATTGACTCGATGCCAGAGGCTTTGGCTTGAAGTTTGAGTAGACGCCAATTCATGGCAATTCCATGCATGTTCGCAAGAAGGGTGCTCCCGTGGGTTTCAGGGGCTGATATTTTGGAGGCGGATGGCCATGACTTTCTTCTAAGGTGCCTCTGAGGAGTCTTGGGAGTCCACTTTCTTGGTTAGCAGTCGCACATGTCAGTCCTTTGCCCCACCCAGGGATTCGACACTCCAAGTAAAAAACCAGCTATAAAATTAGCAGGTCAGAGAGTACCTGAAATCACTGATTCTTTTTGAGTTGGAAGGAAATACCAAAGACTTGTGATCCTACTCTTATAAACTAGGAAGTCCAGCACCCACATTTGGAAGGACTTGCCCAAGGTCACTGCTAGTGAATGAGCTTCTGGGCCAGAGTCTTCCCCACCCTGTCCATGCCTCCTACTCCTCCTCCCTATTTCTTGGGACTTTTTGTCCCTTCTTTCAGCCGCTCCTGCTGGCAGAAGTAGTGGGTAATGTGTTAGGCTGCAAACTACAGGGTCAGCAGTTTGAAACCACCAGCTGCTCTGCAAGAGAAAGTTGACGCTTTCTACTCCTGTAAAGAATTACAGTGTCAGAAACCCACAAGGGCAGTTCTACCCTGTCCTATAGGGTCGCTATGAGTCAGAATGGATTTGATGGCAATGAGTTTGGTCGGTTGGTTGGATTTCATGTGCAAATTCTCTAGCTGTTTGGCTCAACCACTATTACGGTTATTTAAAATCCGTATCATGAATGATTCCCGTAGTGGTGTATATATAGTTTTACCACAATCCACAGTGACTTTAACTACTGCTTGATTTAAATGTGGGTGAGGTCAGATGACTGAAGTATGCATTTGGATAGGGGATGCAGTCTGTCTAATCCTTAGAGCGTTCTGGTGACGGAGTGCTTAAGCACCTGTCGACTACCCAAATGATCAGCCGTGAGAACCCACCAGCCACTCCTTGGGTGAGATGAGAGAGTCTACTTCTGTACAGATTTCAGCCTTGGATACCTCTGGGGCTGCTCTACTTCTGTCCCACAGCGTCCCGATGAGTCAGAAGTCACTTGATGGCACAGGATTTGGGCTAATCCGTAAGCACAGAGCTTTTGGAAAGGGAGGGCTGCTTGGGGTCCAATGTGTTTATACACATTTGTTAGACTCCGTTGAAAGATTGTAAGGATGAATAAATGACTTTCCTATTTATTTCATCTGTGATTGCAGACTATGCCCGACAGATGTCACATAAGAAATTCAAATTACATCTGCGAATGGAGCATTGCTTTGGTAATGCATAATTCACGAGCATAACTGCACATCAGAATCATTCTTTAGAGTCCTTTCTTTCACTGGATAGAAGGTGCTAGTGGAAGAACACTCACCTATTGATCTGACCGTTTTCCACTTCCGTGAAGTCATTGGAATCATTGCTAACGTTATCATCCTCAGGAACTGTCATGTTTTGTAACTCAGTTAATTCGAGCCCACTTTTAAAATGCATCATTTTGGGGAAGTACGTCTACTCAACAGACTGGTCCAAATTCTCCCGTTCCAAGTGTATTTACAAGGGGACAGCAGCAATAGAGTGACAATGTAAGGAGACACCTAAAATACAAGAAAAAAAGGGTCATTAGGCATGAGAATAACACTAGTCTGAAGCATCACAAGTAATCAAGTGATTCACTTATTGACAACGCAATGTTTACATTTTGCTACTCACAGCACCAAAGGAATCGTGCACAGCAAGTCTCATGCCTTTCAACAAATTTCCCTCCCTTTTAAACTATACCGTGATGCATGCCCACAATCTTTATGGTTACATTTATAGGAAGACCATGCCAGCCGCAGGCAAGACAGATAGCCTTTTAATGGAAAGAGTGTGTTAAAAATTAAAGCCATACAATGTGATAGTTATTTAATGTGCCAGATCACAGGGCACATGGCTGGCTGACTCCACAGAGAGAGCAAAATAAAATAACCACCTCTGATCTAGAAATCCCGGCTTACATCAAAGTGCAAATCCTCAATAAATGGCATCATGGGAGATCAAATGCCCAACCTGGGGGGGGGCAAGCAAAACAAATGCGTGTTTGGAAATTTAGCAAACCTTTTATCCATCCACTGTCAGAGATTAAACCAATCTCTTCAAGGAAATCACTTCTCGTCAGGGAATTAGAGAACTGAAAAATCCTACTCAGGGGATTTTGGTTGATCCAACAGATACTCTATTTCCTCAATAAAAAATGAGAGCCTTCCAGAGCTCACATTGCCCCTGCCCAAGTGAGTTCATGTTCTGAGGGGTGGTAAACCTACAACATCACAAGCCAAAGCCAGGTGACAGCAGTTGTTTGTCTTGTTTAGTTTGTTTTGAAATTACAACTTCAAAAGCGGGGACTAGGGTGAGCCTCAGGGGGGTACTGTGGAACGAGGCAGGATGTCAGAGTCTTGTTCCACTTCCAAACCACCTTGGGCGACGCCATATTGGTTTTGTTTTAACATTTTATTGAGAATTGGGTGAAGTTGTACAGAACAGATCATCAGTTTCAGCCTTAAAAGTTTACTCGTATTCTGTTTCAACTCATCCATTACAATTCCCTCAAGGGACCATCACTTCTCCCACCTGACCCCTGCATTTCCAGTTTCCGTTCCCCCTCCTGTGCTAACCCTTGGGTAAATTCTGCCCTGTAATAGTTCTTACATGGGAGTCAGTTCACTTCCAGGCCAAGAGAGGGACTACGGGCCGTGGCTTGCGAGGTCCACCAGTCTTCATTAGACAACGTTTTTTGGCATTTTGTCTGACCCTGATTCCAGAAGATGACTGTACCACAGTGAAGGAGGTTCTGGTGTGTCAGTGATCACTAACCTAAGGCCTGGTGGCTCCCACCTACTCAGTGCCGCTGTGAAAGAAAGGCCTGGCGATTCTTCGGTCAAGATCACAGAATGCAGCTCTACTCTGTGGCACAGTGAGTGGGCCGCCAGGAGTGAGAACTGAATCGATGGCAGCAGAGCTGGCTTTGGTGAGTGTAACACAGATGGCTCCATCGCAGTCCCTGGAGCACTCTATCATTACTCTCGTCCACCCAGGATAGCACTTTGCTCACTGACATTTGACGGGCCATAGAAAGGCCTCTAGAATGATACTTTTTGAGAACTTCTCTCTTCCTCTTTGCTAACATCATCCTCTACATGTTTCCTTTTCATTTCAGTCTCCTCCCTAGCATGACCCCCATCGCTCCAGGACTTTTTAAAAGCTCCACAGCATGACTAACTTTTGATACCTCAGATTCCAAGAACCTCCTCCTGGGCCCCTCTCAGAAGGCAGGATGAGGGTTGGAGCCTCCCGTCTCCTGGCCTTAGGGCAATCTGGCAGGTGGTAAGACCTGGCCCATCTCTGCCGATTCTTAATGCCTTCCCACCACAGCAATACAGTACAATCTGCACACACTTTGCAACAGTGAAAATGCATTATTCTTGCTCTCCCCTCAGCACTCTTGGATGGAAGCTGTCCAAAAAGGCAGCACTGGGTAATTTCTAAGAGTCTTGTCACGCTGACTGCCTCTTCTATAACTTCCTCAACTACTGGCAATGTGATCCTATCAGTCTGGAAGAAAGTTCTGATTCCATAAATGGTGCTTTTCATTTCGGTAAAAGAGTTCTTTACGCTCAATGGACTGATAGGAAATAGAACACCAGACAAACATTTGCAAGGAAAGGAAGGGTTGACTAATACTAGCTCTGGAGTCTACTAAGTACATGGATGTTAGCTCTCATATCAAATACAAGGGGCTTCAAAAAGTTTGTGGGAAATTCCTGTTATGTTTGCATTCCATTTTCCATGAAATTTTTGATACATATGTGTGTATATGACCGAGCACGTGTGCGGACAAGGACAAGTTCACATCACTAGTAATTTAGAGAACTGGAACAAAGGAGGAAAGAATCAAAAGAATGAGGAAGTTCTAGTCACTCAAATTAGGTCCGTATTGGCCAGATACCAAGTTAATCACAGAATACATTTTTTATTGTTAGGAAATAATCTATCTTAAACACAACTTGTTCTTGAAGATAAAAACTGGAAAAGGAGGAGAAAAATTAACAGTTAGTGGCAGCCATTACTAAGGTTGAAGTCACACTTGGAAAATATTATACATTCAATTAATCCTGTGCAGTGAGTGCTAAGGTACAGTCACTAAACTGAAACGTTTCAACAAGCTGATGAAGCACTGGAAGCTCTCAACTCATCTGTGCCAGGACATCTGGAAGACGGACACTTGGCCAACTGGCTGGAAAAGATTCATATTTGTTCCCCTTCAAAGAAAGGTACCCCACCAGAAAGTTCAAATCATATAACAATATCGTTAATATGACCTGTAAGTAAAATTTTGCTGAACACCATCCAACAATGTACTGCTTGCAGCAGCACATTGACAGGGAGCTGCCAATTCAGGCCGGATGCAGAAGAGGATGTGGAATGAGATAGTATTCCTGACATCAGAGGGATCTTGAAGCAAAGCAGAGAATACCAGAAAGATGTTTATCTGTATTTTATTGAATATGCCACAGCATTAAACTGTATGGATCATCACAAACTACATATAGCTTTAAAAGAATAGGAATTCCAGAACACTTCACTGTGCTTATGAAGAAACTGTACAAGGCTCAAGAGGCAGCTGTAGAAGAGAACAAGGGAATACTGAATACGCATGCACCAGTGTTGCGTCCTCTCACCATACTCATTTAGTCTGAATGCTGAGCGAATCATCAGAGAAGCTGGATCACATGAAGAGGAATGTGGCATCAGGATTGGAGGAAGGCTTATTACCCACCTGCCGTATGCAGATGACCTTGCTGGCGGAAAGGGAGCAGGACTTGAAGCACTTGCTGATGAAGATCAAGGATTGCAGCCTTCCATATGGATTGCAACTCAATGTCAAGAAGATCAAAATCCTCATCACTGCACCAATAGGCAACATCATGATAAACAAAGAAAAGGTTGAACTTTAGGTTCTTTGTCTTGCTTGGCTCTACAATCAGTGCTCATGGTAAGAGTGGTCAAGAGATCAAAAGACGCGGTATTAGGTAAATCTGCTGCACAAGACCTCTTTAGAATGCTGAAGAACAAGATGTTACTTTGAGGACTACAGTGAGCCTGACCCACGCCATGAGATTTGCAAGGGCCTCATACACATGTGAAAGTTGGACACTGAATAAGGAAGACAGAAGAACCCATGCATTTGAATGATGGTGCTGGAGAATATTGAAATTACTATGGCCTGCTAAGAGGACAAACAAGTCTGCCTTGGAAGAAGTACAGCCAGATTTTGTCTTACATACTTCGGACATGCTGTCAGGAGAGACCAGTCCCTGGAGAAGGACATGATGCTTGGTAAAGTAGAGGGGCAGAGAAAAAAGGAAGACCCTTGACATGATAGATTGACACAGTGGCGGCAGCCGTGAGTGCCAGCACAGGAACACTTGTGAGATGGGAGCGGGACCGTGCAGTGTTTCCTTCCGGTGTGTGTACAGTTCTATGAGTAGGAATTCACATGATGGTAACTAACACGATGTGATACAAGGATTCAAAAGGAGAAAAAGTTAGTATTCAGGAACCTAAAGTACCTTCACAGAAAAGTCACATTTGGATTGGAACTTGAAAAGGTTTTGTGGTTTGTTTTCCCACTTTTAAAACTAATGCAAGTTCACTGTGGGGTGTGTAGGAGAGACAGTGCATAAGAAT